TTTCACATAACCAGTATTCCATTCAGAGTTTGTAGGAGATGTGGGTTTCAAGCCCCACTTCATCTAACAAATAATATATCCATAAGATTTCACATGTGGACTATGTCATAGTTCTATATTCAGACTCTAAACTTGAATAAGATACAACTGTTTGTTTCTTACGTTTTCCACGATATAAGATTCCCGCTAACAAAACATAATAACCCGTAGTAAACCTCCTATAAATTTTAGATCCAGCCCAAGTAACATTTGTAAAACATTCGATGTGAGTATGTCCATAATTTTTAAACACTATGCCAAACCCCGGGGCACCTTTTAAATAATACGAAATCTGTTTCAAAGTCTCCCAATGTTTGATTGTAGGTGCTGACATAAACTAACTGACAACACTGATAAAGTATGCTATATCTGGACGAGTCACAATGACATAATTCAATTTCCCAACTAGTCGCGTGTATTTCTTTGGGTCATCAAGGGGATCACCATCATCTTTTTGTAAGATATACATTTGGTACCATTGGTGTATTGCATGACTTAACTCCCAGTTTTCCTATTTCTGCAAGTAGATCAAGTATATACTTTCTCTAAGATAACAGAATCCCTTCCTTACTTGTTATTTCAATCTCTAAAAAGTATTTTAGCTATCTCAAATCGTTGGCGTTGAACTTGGTATGCAAGAATAATGTGAGAGAGCATATTCCTACATGGTCATCTCTTGTAATCACAATATTATAAACATAAACAACAAAAAATATAATATCAACTGTTGATTGTTTATAAAAAAACTGAATAATCACACTTACTCTTCTTCAATCCGAACTCTCATACTACCTCATTAAAATTGTTAAACCACGCACGGGGACTCTGTTTCAAACCACACAAAGATTTCTTCAAATGATAGATTTTTCCGTACTCACCCTGAGTAACAAAGCCAAGTGGTTGCTCTATATACACTTTTTCTAAGAGATTTCCATAAAGAAATGCATTGTTAATATCCAACTAGTGTAAGGGCCAATATCAAGATTGTAATAGATATGAATAAACGGGCAGAGGTAAACTTGGCCACTAGAGAGAATGAATCAGAATAGTCCACCCCATAAATATAAGCATAGCCTTTTGCTACCAGTCGAGTTTTAAATCTTGCCACATAACCACCTGAATTCACTTTAATTGCAAATATCCATTTGCACCCTATAGCCTTTTTTCCTTTGCATAAATCTACCAGATTCCAGGTATGATTATCATCAAAAACATTTATCTCCTCAAACATAACATTACGCCAACCAGGGTGATTCAAAACCTTCTTAACTATTTTGAGTATAGAAATTGAATCTATATAAGTAATTAAAGCACTCGACAAGGGAGACAGATGGTCATATGATATAAAATTAGCACTTGGATAAGTTGGTGTAGGGATGGTGCACTGATGTTTACCTTTACAAAAACTAATAGAAAGATCAACGTTTTGCGAAGCAGAATCAGATGACGACGAATCTGGTACAGGACATGTATCATTAGTTTGTTGTCTTTTGAAATAAACATAGACAATTAACGGTGCTACTTGGATCAGAGGCACACGAACACTATCATCAACTTGCTCAAGTGGAGCTAAAGGCATATCATTTGGAGGAATACTTTTATTTGTTTGCCTAGTAAAGACACCTGATGTGAAACTATAGATGAGTCACTCGTTGTCCGCCTCCTGACTTGTAAACTTGGACGATGAGGAAAAAAACGATATATTATCTGAAAAAACCACATCAATTGATACCAAATACTTATTGAGATATAGAGAGCCACACTTGTATCCTTTCTGGAGGCGAGAATATCCCAAAAATATACATTTCAAGACTTTTGGGTCCAATTTTGTCACGGTAGATAACACATCTCGAACATAGCAGGTGCTACCAAATATCTTATCTTGCACCAAAAATAAAGACTTGTTTGGAAAAAGAAGATTATAAGGAACATCCCCATCAAGTACTGTAGATGTCATACGATTAATCAAGAAACAAACTTTAGAAACGACATCAGCCCGTAATTGCTTAGGGACTTGTGTTTGGAACAAGAGAGCTCGAACTGTCTTAAGTAAATGCATGTTCTTTCTCTCAGCAACCCCATTTTGAGATGGTGTATCAACACACAAGAATTGGTGAGGGATCCTATGTTGTGTCATATAGTTCTGAAATAAATCTGACATATATATTTTGGCATTATTACTCCTCAATACATACACAGAAACATTGAATTGCGTCTTGACTTCAGTACAAAAAGTACAAAAATGAAAAAATATTTCCGAATGATTTTTTATAAAATATATCCAAATCATTCGAGAAAAATCATTCACAAAAGTAACGAAATACTTGAACCCAGTTTTGGACGAAATAGAACAGGGACCCCAAACATCATAATGAACTAATTCAAAGATAGACTCAGCTCATCTATTGACCCTTGAACTTGATAGACTACGATGCTGCTTTGTAAACCGACATGACTCACAATCCAGTGAGAGTACATCATGAAACTGAGAACATAACTTTTTCACCACAGATAAAGATGGATGTCCCAATTGATAATATGTTTCAAATGGAGAGATAATACTAAAGCAGACAATTAATCAAGGTAACCAAGTATCAAAGAATGTCAAGACCACTTGATATATTCTTTTACCAATAATCTGCTTCGTCATAAAATCTCGAAGAACACAGTAATAAAGAAAAATTGTAATACAACAATTCAAATATTTAGTAAACTTACTTACAAAGATCAGATTGAAGGCGAGTTTAGATAAACTTAATACAAATGACATAGTAATAAATGACGTTAGTTTTCTGTTCTCTGAACCCGCAATATTATATGTCGACCCATCAGCAATAATTAAAGGAAAATGTGCTTTTTGTGGTTGAAAACTAAAAAAAATATTAAAATTATCTTATCATGTGATCTATAGCACCAGAATTAATCACCCATTTGTTTGAGGAGAAAATAAGATATTTTTCCTCTAATTCAGTAAAAGCAGAAAATTTATTTAAAAATTCTCGATACTGAGTGAATTTAGCATATTTATCAGCTGAAATAATAACAGTTTTCTTAGAGGATGAACTACCACTAACAACAACAATATTAGTGGTCCGTGTCATTCGATTAAAATTCTACAATTTCTTACAATATCGTTTTATATGTCCTTATTTACTGCAGTAATAGCAGACTATTATCATTTATTTCAATTCATGAATTAAAATATGCCACTTAGAATACCCAAAACTCAACAGTCAGAGATATCTGAAAAACATTGCAAATATATCAGAAAATCTGAAAAAACAGAGTATCTCTTCATGCACGACTGTCAACAATCTTACCAGAACCTCTTTATCAACCACCGGAGCTCATGTGCCACAACACACGCTGCCACCGGAGTTCACGTGCCGCCGCTAGAATGCCACGCGCCGCCACCGAAATGCCACGTGTCGCCGCCGGAAATCACCAAAATGCCTCCTTTCAACCAGCAATCACCACAAACCCCACCGGACAACCAAAATCCATAAAGGGCTCGCGAAAACACCTCGAATCGCACCAGAAAACTTCCAAAAGCTTGCTATCACGCAATCTGCTTCATGGCAGTTTTCTCTTCTCCGGCCTTCTGGTTTCATGCACAGAACCGGCCGGCCAAGCTCCTCAATAGCTTTTGTCCTCGAACGGGAAAACAAAACGCACAAAAATACCCTCCTCCGGCAAACCCGACGCACACAGCCTTAAACCGTTGCGCAAACCGCCGTCTGGGCTTGTCCCACGTAGACCACCGTGCTGGCCGCACTCTGAACTAGCCGGAGATCACTAGTCGACTTTCTCCGGCACTGGGAATGGGTGTTCAACCCTCATTTTGATCTGATATAATCTAACCCCTAAAACCCTAACCCTAACTCTAACCCTAACCCTAGCTCTGATACCATGTAAAGGGTTAGGAAAGAAAAAATAATGAATAATTCTTATGTCTTTATTGAAATGAAAGTTAGGATATATATACATGTATACGGATTCCTATATGATAACCAACATAAATCACTCTAATTATTTTTTTTCTAATTACGTTTACATATTTAGAAAGATAATCCTATTATTATATATAGGGAATATTCTGTAATATTCTATCTAACACCTTAAAATCTCGTTTAGTTGGAAGGCTTTTTCACCTATTTCCTCGGTCTTTCAAAGAATCTGGATAATCCCATCAAAAATAATGTCCATTTTGGATTTCTGCAAGAAAATTACATCAAGATTTCATCTACTCATGCAACTCCTAATTACTTGTCTCTTCTTGTGGTCAATTATGCCCCTTACATTCCAAAAAAATGATGCGATCAAACATATTCAAGCCTCATGCAACACCCCCTCTCCTTCCTATCTCCTTTCTTCATGTCATCATAATTAATGGTAGTCTGCAGCCTCCTCAATTCTGGAGCACTCCACCCCTATTTATTTTTCACTTTTGCCTTTAGTGCCACACCTCTCGTCTTCTCCTTCCTTCTTTTCCCAATCTCTTTAAACAGCTCTATAGCCTGCTCATCTAATCCATCAAAAGTGACCCCAAGCATGGTACTAATCCACTAAATATTTCATAAGACCCATCTTGAATTTTCTTCTTCAATCAAGTCCCCAATCCTCTCCCCCCACATCTTCTCCGCTATTAGTTTGCATTTTGTACTACAAGCACAATTTCCCTCCTAGGAGTAGTGACTGTTGCCGCCTCATATGTTGGGACCATTGTCAAAGTCCGTGGAATCTCTTCCTCCCCGGACGCGACCGCAATCCACCACAGCAATTTCAGTTTCGCGACAATTGTGAAATTAGCATATGGCAAAGTTGCTAGGCTTGGTATCACGGTGAATTGTTGAAGGATCGCAACAATTGTGATGGAAGCTAATACCTCTCACTATATCCATGGCAATAGCTGAATAACCACCATTCGGGTCGATTTTTTTTAGGCTTGGGATTCAGGTTTGAACAAAGAGGAAGAGTTAGATTTTAGTTTCTAAGTGTTCCGAAGAAAGAAAGAAATTAGGTTTTAATTCTTTTTATTTTTAATAATTCAAATATTATTCTATTAAAAAATAGAATTGTATGTATTATATATTACATACCATCCGCAACCATGTGGCGGCTTTTAAGCAAAAAGAGAAGTGACGTGGAGTTGATGTAAATGGCATCTAATGACTAACGGCAGCGACCAAGGCGAGCTGATTTGTAATAGTCTTTCAAAGTTTAAGTTCTATTTGAACAAAAAAAATACTACAAAAGGCTATTTTGAATAAAATGTGATAGTACAGGGGTAAGTTAAGTAATTATCTTTATATATTACATATCTAAGATCTAGAAATTGAATGAGAATAAAATAAGTTTAAAACAAATATAAAGTATATCCTGCTATATTAAAAACAATAAAATAGCACCGGTATCATATGAAACTACAAACGTGCTAGACTGATCTCGCAGCTTTTACTTTTAACAAAGAAGATTACAGTGTCTCTGAGCAGTTATAAACAAGAATAAATACTATAAATGCACAAGAGGCACCAAAAGACTTACAGGAATTCCAAGATATGCACTATGAAGCTTTAATTGGTGCCGAACATGAGTGGCTCCTTCACTACCAGTTGCAAGCCTTATTTCTTCATTACTCCATCTATATATCCATGGTCTTGAAGCAGACTTCCAAGAACTGCAACAAACATAACCAATGAACTAAAAGATTGCACGTCTACCAGAGATTTGACACAATCTTCTGATAATTAAGAAGGCTGCTGAAACCATATGAAAGCTCATATTGTCCTGCTTTATAAAGCATTATACAGTTAATCCTTAAAAAATTTAGGAGTCAAATAGGAAACGAGAACACAACATAGATGAAATGATTGAATAAAAATAGTATTATAATTCCATGTCAATCATATGTCCAATTCAACTTATATGTGTTTGTGATTCTTCTATTGAAAAGTGGGCATATAGTTCCATAATTGTAGAGTTGAAATATGACCTCAGTTATATTTAGTTAAATATATCAAATATATAAATTGTAACTATAGCCAATATATTAAACAATTAAATATAGAAATTAAATGAGAGTAGAATAGAATTCAAACAAACTGAGCTCCTATCATATGTAAAGCTGATACTCTAATTTAGACTATCAAAAAGCAACCTCATGCAGGGACCACATCCATGGATAGGATAGATCTTTATATGTTCCAACATCACTTCAACAATGTCTATGCTAGTTTTGGTTATCCATGCATGACTGATATTTAATTACTATGTTAACTTGAATAAATGTTACTTGAATTGAAACTTAGCATTCAAATCCAACTGACACCAGAAATTAAATGGGGAAAAATTACCAAGCTGCGTTTATATTTTCAGATCTTAAATGATTAAATCTTGGGGGACATTCAATCTGCCCTGAAATTTTTCTACGATCATGGAGACGGATGTCCAACTGTGCAGTTCAAGCAGCAATGTAAATAAAAGATGAAAAAAAGTAGAATACAGAGAGGCATATGGGCAAAAAAACAGAGCTACTTGACTCTATAATTGAGTAAGTACTCACCTCAGATGATACGACAAACTGATATATTGCGCTCTGCGAATGACGTGTGTAGATTAGCAATAATGCTAAAAGCAAAATTTTCAGGTACAGCAAACGTTTACTGTAATTAATTAAATTGCAAACCTCACCTGTGGAATGCTATTTAGATCCCCAGCAAGTATCACAGGGATGTTTCCCCATTCTTCTGAAAGCTTGTAAGCTTTTTGGAGAAACAATCTGACCTAGAGTTTGACATATCAAAATTATATTAGCACTGGTGAATTGATTAAGTATTTTATTGTTTCCATTTTCAAAATTCATGTGCTTATACAACGTGTTTAAAAACGCACTTTGAAGTGTGTTTATGAAGTAATAAGTACAAAAAGAAAAATTTTAAAACACTAAAAGCAACATTTTGAAATTTTTAAAGTTCATTTCCACTCTTTTTTTTTTCAAACCATTAATTAACTTATACGTCTACATGTAGGAAAAAGATGTAAATTCAATAAATAATAAAAACTAAAAAAATATCTTCATGTAGCAAACAAAGTCTAAAGTTCTTCGCACATGCATTTTTCTCTACACGAAGAACTAAGTGCAGTCCTAAAGAAAACCAATGTGAAAGAGGGCATACAAACTATAAATAAACCAATGAAAGTTAAAGATCCTCAGCAAAATAATCCCATAGGATCAAACGTTTTAGCAAAGCTTTGAAGAGACCAAATGACTTTATACTGAGAGAATCTTTCCAACTTTAGGAACTTGTGAGTAATTAATACCTGGCCCAACTTGATGTCTCCACGATTTGGGTTGAAGAGGACATGTATGTTCCCAACCAATATGCTCCTACTTTGAGTGTGTGATTTCCTATACATGCGAACATATGTAAGTGTGATCAATCGAGCTGTATTATCACTAACACAGATAACTGGATAAATTACAACCTAGATTAGTTTTTCCTTCAACCATAAACTAACAAAAAAGTCAAAGTTGCTCATCATGAGCAATTGAAAGAAAAATTTACTTCGGGACTTGCAAACATAACTCAGACTCTGATTGCTCCTGGTTCATCTGTTGAAGATAAAGGGATGAAATAGGTGAAATAGGTGAATGCACAAACAAATTAGAAGTAAAAATCACTATGATATCTCCTTCCATGACAAGATATATCTGTATATTTTACCTGAACAATATGAAAACGTCTCAATCAATCAGGGAAAAGTTAGATTGTTTAAAAATATATTAAACCAAAAGATAAAACATATTTTCTCAAAACAAGACCAGGAAAGTCTTCGAAAAACAACTTGTGCAATAACCTATGGAAAAGGAAGGATACAAGATTGACAGTGACAATCAAGGATTTGTTGGAACAAAAGATTGCATAATTATATAGTTGCAGCTGATGAACTGACCACACAAGATTAACCAAAAAGAAGCATGACCATAAAATCCATGCTTACGCTCTTACCACACAAAAACCATTCTTCTACTCCCAATATCAGTTCATTTCTACTTGCAATAATTTTCAGTATCATTGTTGCACACTATAGTTCCAAACTGCTAAAAATCAGGTAGATTTAAACATTAGGCACCAGCTAATCAGCTCATTACTTAATATATAACATTTGCATCAGCAAAACTTGCTAGTGTCAGCACAAAAACTCAAAAAAAATTCCAGAATAAGATTAACAGCTTAGCTTCTAAATTGAATAAATGAATTGTTAGTAACTACAAATATATCAAATTGACAAATTGCAAGGGTATAGGATGTTAACAAGGAATGCATTTTTACCTAGTGGATGTAGTGTTTGCATTACTTCCTCGCTGGAGATAGAATGTTAAGAAGGAAAAAAAAAAATAGTCCCAAAGCAATTTGAACCTCTGCATACCTCTAAAATGCAAAGTTGTGCGACATTGTCACGAAGGCCAAAACTCCGGAACTCAATGTTTTCTTGATATAGTAGAGTAAACCTGCGTATAACATGTACCTTGCTAAAACTGAATATTGGAAATAAAGATAAAAATTTTGAGTGGAAATTAAAACACAAGCCTAGTCAAACAATCTGTTGCAGTCCCAAGAGATCAAATTTAGCCAATAGGGTCATGCTAATATATTCTGGTAAGAGAAGTATATTATTCACAGGGCATCATGTTGAAACCTCATGTTACGAAAAATGATATCAAATGCCTAAGATCCACGCAATTCATTTAGCCAATAGCACAGGAGAGAGGAACACAAATTTTTCTTCCCGGTTTCAAGGTAACTAGGAAAGGTCTATCAAGAAAACTAGCAGGAATTGTAAAGGGAATTACTTCTAAACCCAAGCAAGGAGAGATGCAAGAACTACAAAATTTAATCATTAGAAATTGCAGTGAGTAATATGCATTTAATTCTCTAAACGACACGAGAAACCTTACAGCTTATCTTTCCAGAATATAGCACAACCATCACAGGCTTCACCCGTGCGACCCTGGAGTAGAAGATAACTCAATGAGCAGGATTAACAAATTACCACTTGATAATTAAAAGGCTTGACCAAGTTGATAGGTGGAAAAAAGAAATTACATGTACCTTGAAAACACCTCTGAAGCCATCTTTTTGAAGAAGATCATCTAAATCTTGGAAGCGATCAACCTCCTGCATCCGTGTGAATGACTGAGAATGCAACTCAATAAAGGAACATTGTTGTATGTTGCACGTCATGAATAATATAGTGGCCTATTGGGAGATGCCATGGTGCTCCAAAGGCATTATATCTCTGTGTTAAATTTCTAATATTTCATGGTACCTGCAACTTTGTATAGTAATCACCTAATATTGTGTCTTTATGTGGTTACTACACAATGTCAGCAATTACACAAAGTTACATAATTACTATGAAACGTTATAAAATTCTAGTGAGATATGAAGCCTCTGAAGCTTCACAGTAGCACCCCATCATCAGTACCAAATATCATTTATTAAGCAATCATTGGCTAATGGAATTGATATATATATCATATTTAATGCAGAAAAAACAAAAGTCAGTTCCATGTTGAGCTTCCATCTGGCTAGTGATATTGATAGATGTACGAGTAAAAAAAAAGATTATACTATCATAGAATATAGGTGTCTATGCATGTGTATCATATTGGCACTAATCTCTCCAACATATATCCCTCACATTTTTTGAAAAAACCATTCTAGTATGATCTTTCTTCTTTAGGACATGCACCATTGAATGTTGAGGATGTGCAAAAGCCTCATGTTAGAAAACTTGTAATGACATGCTGATGTATGGTGGATAAGTAAATAACAGATGTCATGTATTGAAAATTTTTCAATCCCAATTTATAGCAAAATACCAACACAAAGAGAAACAAGTTGAGCCATTATAAGGTGAAAAATATAAATAACTGCAGCTACAAAGGCTATTAAATTTGAATTGTGAAATATCCACTCAAAAAACCAGCCCACGATAACATTCGTCAATATAAATATCTAAACATACTTGATCTTAGGTACATTATAAACAAAGGACTCATGAAAATTGCAATCCTTTAGTTTAAACAGTTGAAGCCATGAACAAGAAATAACACAGATATTTCAAGGGGGATACATTGTGCTTGTTATGATCAACTAAAAGACTCCCGTGACCTGCCCACAAAGAAACAAATTCCTTCCTATAATCTAAAAAATCTTTTATTGTTACCGGATTAAATGAGTATTCTCAAACTTGCCTGAAAACACAGCACATTTGCTGTGTAATGATTCATCTCCTTACATATGAGGTGTTTCCTTGTATCCCATTCCAAGAATTTGGGTGGGACATTAAAGTACAAGTCCGGATGTTTTGATGCATTTTCAACACCAAGTATGTTATACGAAGCAACAACAACTTTATCTGCAGAATAAAAGAGGTAATTAAGCCAATTTTCTTCACTTTTATCTCAAAAAAAAAAAAAAAAAGACATTGCTAATTCCACCTAATCTTATATGAAGAGAGTAATGCTTGACATGTTAAATGATCCAACAATCAACTTAGAAGGACCTTGTTTATCATCAATCTAATAAAAAATACACAGAACCATCTTCTCCACAAGAAAAAAAACTATTCGAGAATAAATTAATTAATGCTTTATCATTTAATGATGGGCCGAAGAAAAGAGAACTTCGAAAATTCGCAAAACAAAAAAAGAAGTTCAATGCTAAACGTTAAGCGACATGAACTTTCCTATACAAAGCCATAAAGCTCTTAAGAATTCTACAGATAATGAAGATATAAAACAGTTCAAACCTCGGAATGAGTTTCCATACTAAATCAGATACCTTTGCGATATGAGAAATCCCGGGAAGAGAAGACCCACTGGCGAAATCCATCGATAGGACGCGACTTCTTTTTCTTCAGCCCCTTGTGCCCTCGGAATGAGGAAGAACAGCAACGGATAGGCTCGAATTTGTTCGAACAATTAAGGGTCGGGTACGGGTCCGGTTGTAGGGTTATAGTTTCTTTCCGTCGATGGGCTAACGTTCGCTTCTTTGCTTTAGTATCATCTTCCCGAGATTGCTCAGAGATGGAGGAATGTTTGCGCTTAGTGGTGGCGGGTGAGTTTTTCTCCGGCTGTTGTCGGCGGTGGCGTACTCTCATGTCGCCGGAATATGGGCCGTGAGGCGGCGCGTTTTTTGATCAAATTTTTCGGTTCCCGGTTGGCAGGAGTAACTGTTTTCAAAACCAGGTGGCAAGTGGATGGGTGGGTGTCCGCACCGGTGTAAATTAAATATATTAATTTAATTATGTTTAATTTAATTTCAATTAGAAGATTATGTTAATATCGTATATATTAAATCAAATAAAAAGATAAAATTTATATATTATACATGTATAATTATTTGACTATTATGCATAATTATATAATTAGTAATATTTAACTTGTAGGCTGCATAAATTACATATTATTTATTAACATCTAACCATTCATCTTTATTAGAAATGAATATGATTATATTAAAACTATAATTACGAATATATATTTTTAAAATAATTTATAAATATAAATTTTTAGATAAATTTATTATAAATATAAATTATATATACTTTGTCAAAATTATAACACAAACCAGCATGTGATCTTTATTTAACTGAATTTATTGTTTATTACTATTAAGTCATTAGTTATTTTAAGTGCTTTTAAGTATTTGATTTTAGTTCCTATTATTTAAAAAATTGTTGAAGATCTCTTAGTCGACAGAAAATGAAAAAATATAATTTGGTTACTAAAAAGTTAGTAGTAGAGAATAAAGAAACAAAGGTTGGTTAGTGAATAAGTAAATAGTAGATAATAAGAGAATAATGACTTGATTAATATAAAAAAATCAGTAACAGATAATAAAAAATTACAATTTTTATTTACATTGATCGTATACCTATATAAGGTAATTTATTTGCATCAAATAAAGTTATTTATGCGTAGGTTCACTTCTTATTTTACGATATATTTTTCATTAACTACGTTTTTATTTTTATTTCTATAATATATATGTAACGGCCCCGGAAATTTAAAATGAAATATGTGTATTAAAAATGTCAAATGCGGAAGCGAAGTCAAAATTTCGTTTAACATCCCTTACACTAAAACCAAAAACGTGCTCAAAATATAAAAGATCAAACTAACTAAAAGAGAAACTCGAAAGTAAAAGCTATGAATATGACTATGGAGTCTTTAGGCGTCCCCTTCGTCGTCTTCCTGCGGAACAGGCTCGGGAACAATGTCTTCCTGATTTGAAATGATTAAATAAGGAATGAGCTACACTAGCCCAGTAAAGACATCACGATATCTCACCGTCACGGAGGTAAAGGTGGGTAGAAAACACAAAAAGACCAATGAAGCATAATTTACCACAAATCCTTTTATCAATAATAAAACCTTTATCATCCACTTACCTCGGTGAAATTCATAAAACAATATACGAAAGCAATAATATTATCATCATCATGAAATTATATAAACTGTATAACATAATACTTATCACGCCTTTTGTAATTCAATCATTACACAACATATTTTTTCATCTTTTACCAGCCTACTAGTATCCATGGGGATTCATAGGGGTCCCGCTACCCGTGAACCCTTAACACTTGTAATTAGATTCCATGGCCGTCCCCATACCCCGTCCGGTATGGGCACCAAAACTACAAACCTCAATACCCTGTCCTGTATGAGGGTGAAACGGGTCGTCCCCATACCCCGTCCGGTATAGGCGCTAAAACACATAGGGTCTCCATACCCCGTCCGGTATGAGAGACCACAATCCCGGTGGGGTTCCCTACGGACTCGATCCGTCCACCATCTCCTAGGATATCTAGTCAGGCTGATCACATTATACAATTATCAATTTACATAACCTTTCATTCCCCTTTTCCTCAGTCAGCATCATCAATTCACACACAAACAAGCAAAACAGTAATTTATGCCAAACAAGACAACATATAGCATCGGTTTCTCAGTCATTCAACCCATAATCAATAAAACAGTAAAATATGCACACGAAACAATGAAATGAAAACATCAGACCTCATACTGCATTTAAAACTATAAAATATGCCAAATAACAGTTAACCGACAAACACACTAGACTCGGGCTACATTAGCGACCTTAAGCAATTTCACACATTCGTTGATTCAAGAATTACCGTTTTATCATTATTGAACTTTAAGACCGTGATAGGAAATAGGGTGAGAGGTCCTTACTCGTTTCAGGGTCCAAACACGGCTTCACAGTGCGCCTACAGGCTGTCCCTAATTTTTCTTGAATTTTTTCCGGGGAATTGAAACGCACTACTGGTACCTGCATGTGTTCCAAAAAATCCGAAATTAGACCTAGGGCCCCTTTCGACCAATATCACAATTCCGGCACGGCGGCTCCGCCGTGCTCCAGCGACGGTGCCGCCGCAAGCGGCGGCGATTCACCTCGGGTTGGCCGTTTTCGGCCGTTTCCTGTCTAATTTGGCCACACTTACATCGGTCCCTGTGATAAAACAACCCTAGGGCCCTCGGGGGGCCAAAAAATACGAAAAACTGAAGCTTACCGGCGGCGGTGCTCTCGGGTGCGGCGGCTCTCTGGCGGGGTTCGTGTTTTGGTGATTCGGCTCCGATCAACCTGTAGAGAAAAGAATGGTAATCACGGTGATATAAAAATTGCATCAAACGGAGGCTGGGAAGGACCTCATCGGAGGCAAAAATCGAGGAGGGGCGCGGCGGCGCCGCTGGGTTTTGGCCGTGTTTTCAGGCCGTTTGGCCGGGATTTTTGGCTCCGATTTGGCCACAGGGGAATTCAGCGTGGAAAAACGAGTCGGGGGTATGAAATTACCTCGATCGGCGGTCGAAAATCTCCCCGGTGCAGCGGCGGGTGGCGGCGGCCGGCTCCTCCGGCTTCTGGTTTCGTCTTCTCCGGCGAGGGCAGGCGGCTAGGGTTTTTGTGGTCAGGTGTGGGGGTTCTATTTATACCCTTTTGCCTTTTGATCTTAGCTGTCCATTTTGATTTAATATGGGCCGTCCCTTTTTAATTGAATCTGGGCCGTTCGTGCGCGTGCATCTGGGCCGTCCGTGTGCACGCTTGATTTGGGTCGTCCGTGCGTGCGGGGACGCATCTGGGCCGTCCGATCGCGCGCACGTGGATCGCCAACGTGGCCCGTCCCCGGGTCGACGTGGTCTTGCCATGCGGCAGGTCCTGATTGGCCAGGGCTGCTGACTGGGCCGCTGACGTGATTGCTGACGTGGTGTTTTTTTTTGAATTAAACTTAATAAATAAAATTAATAATAAAATCTCAAAAATGCCCAATTGTTTGGGCGTTACAATATACGTATATTTTTTTTACTGTGAATTTTTAATTGAGCGTCATATTATCATTTCAAAATAATAGAAATTATTTTTTTATTCCAAATGCTTGCAATTTTCTTTATGAGAGATTTTAAAGTCTTCTGTATAAGTTTTTTTTAATATATTTATCAATTTTAATATTTTTTATAAGAAAAAAATCTATACTTCCAAATTTTATCAAACGCATTAATTTTTTTTATTTTATTTGAGACTGAGATCCTAGATTTTAATTCATATTTATTAAAAATAAAAGAAGTAATGAAAAAACTAAACACCCCTTAGGTCAAAAGTTCATAAGTATTCAATGTTTATTGTCTTGTAAAATCTCTTTTGGGTGTTATCTTTTTGTTTTGATAATTAAATAAAAAAATTAATTTGTATTAACCATCACTTGAGAAATAATAATTATACTTTTAATTTAGTTTAATAATGATAATAGTTGTATCATACATAGTTCATCTAATGCAACTCATAATCCATCATTTTATGCTCTAATTTGTATATAAAATATACTTTTTTTATGAATGATGGATGAATTTTTTCTGTTCTCTAAAAAATCATGGATTTTTTGCGTATGGAACATGTGGGTTTGAATGTTTGTTACTAAAGAAATAAAGAAGTTCATATCACCTGGGTACTCACGTAGGGATTCTGTCGCAGTTTAGCCGCGATGAACAAGAACTAGCAAAAACTAAGACGCAGAATATTCGCTATCTGCTTATTTAGCGACGAATAGTTCATTTTTCCGCCGCGAAAACTCTGACTTCTTTTGTTTTTAGCGTATCTTCAAGTTTCGCTCAATGAGTTTTATATCTGGGTTTATTATCAGTATCACACTAACAATTAATACATCCAATTTAAAAATCCAACACCCAAATGGCCAATATCTATCTATTTATGGTTCTGTGAACATAAACAATGAAAATTTGTATGTATGTTCATAATACATACAAATTTTCAATCTCACACTTTTCCTCAATTTGTAAATCATCCGGATTCTCCATGCTCCCCCAGATTAGGTAATTGAAAACCAAGTCTCAACTCTCCAAGAATCTAACCTCTGTCACCCATTAATGCCGCACCTAACTTAGGCCTTCAGCAGAACTATTATTGCAGAGAAACAGAGAAATTACGAGAAAAGGACTAGGATCTTCTCTTCTTTTCGCCATTAATAACCCTACCCAGAACTTCAATTTCTCTCTCGTAAACAAAAATGAAGTACCAATTTCAACTCATAGTTTTCTCAGCTATAATATCTTTTATATTCTCAAAAATCCCTTCAGCACCTGCGAAATCTGTGATTGAACCATGCAGTTCTTCAGATTCTTGTACCTCTCTTCTCTCTTATCTTCTCCCTTACGACTCCAAAATCTCCGAAATCGCTTATCGTTTTCAACTCGACATTTCTGATCTCTTAGCAGCTAACTCCATTACTCCCCAAGTGAGCAGCGAGCTGATTTTGAAATCCAATACCCTTCTGAGGATACCCATTTGGTGTCCGTGCACAGACGGGATCAGAAGGTCGACGTCGACGACATACGAAGTCCGTCCGGCGGACACATTAGAATCGATATCGGAGGGATTTGGGGGGCTGGTGAGTGCAGAGCAGATTGGGGTTGCGAATGGTGTGGCGGAGGAGAAGAAGAAGAAGAAGCCATTGATAAGCGGTGAGAGTCTGGTGATTCCATTGCCGTGCACTTGCTTTAACAACAGCAATAACGGGTTGCCGGCGGTTTACTCATCATACGTTGTGCGGAGAGGAGAAAGCTTGTCGGCCATTGCTGAGATTTTTGGCAACACTGTTGCAGAGTTGCAGGCTGTAAATGGGCTGACCCGGCCCGTGGTTGAGGATGGAGATATACTCTCCGTGCCAATTTCAGGTTTGGTTAGTCTTTCAACTCTTCGTTCATTACATTATGTTCTTTTTTTTTTTTTTAAATGATATTTTTCTACAGTTTTTTCACTTATATAAATTCATATATATAATATCTATACACCAAATAATAAAATAATATAATTAATTTCTTAATAAGAATGCAATCTAATTGGGATTCAAACCCAAAAATACAGGAAAGAGTATGATTAATATTACAGAATACAAAGTTTAAATAATATTTTATTAGAAATAAGAGGAAAAAAAAAGTAAAAAATAATAGAAATACTAAAATTTTAAATTTAGAATTGTCAAGAGAAATCTTTTAAGTACATTGTTATATATATAGATATTATCACACTTTTAAAATATGTATCATAATTAAATCTAATTTATAAATAATAATTAAATGTAAGACAAATTATTTTAAAAAATATACATAAAAACAATTATTTTAATGTGTAAAGTATTTAAATATAAATATATTTAATTTTAATACATAAATCATATACAAAACTCAAAAAATTATATATTTATAATCTCAAGTAGAAAATTTTCTTAATTTATAAATTATTATTTTTAATGTTAAAAATGATAATTATTTTGTATGGCAGCATGTTCATCAACAAATCTGAATTGGCACAATGAGAGTCTAATAGTTCCAAATGCATCCCATGCTCTCACCGCCAACCGTTGCATCAAATGCATGTGTGGACCAACTGATCTCAAGTAAGCTTAATTAATTAATTAATTATAATTAATTGAAAGTTAAAGCGTACAAAAATTGGAGTTTATAATTAAATTAATTATAGGTGGATTTGATGGTGATCAGTTTGCGATGTTTGGCATCTGGAATTGTCACGTCTTGCTCTCACCTACAGTGCAAAGGGTCTGACATGTTCATCGGCGATTATACGTATAACAAGTACAGCACAAATCTGCAGCCAAACACAACCCTCTGCAATGTCACTGCTTGTGTCTATCGCGGCCATTATGGCCGCAAAATCTTCAGAAGGTAAATTACTTTACTTTACAATCTTTACAAGTATAGTTGTTGAAAATAATAATTTGTAAAATTAAGAGAATTTTTTTTTTATTATATAATTTATGTATTATATATATATATAAGTATTTGTATTTTAAAATTTATAAATTATTCATTTATTAAATTTAAATTTGTGTTTTTTGAATTTTTTTAGATAATTCATTTATTAAATTTAATTATAGTTATGAATTAAACTAAATTATAATTTATGTAATCAGAATTTTAAATTTTGTATTAATGTATATATATATTTATGTACTTTAAATTTTTTTATGACAGACCGTAAAATTTAAAATCAAGTCTTTTCCTCTTTCTCTTATTTTCAACAAAATATGTTTTTTTTTTTTTTTCAAATTTTCCAATAATATCTTCATATATACATGGGTACATACACGCACATAATATATATATAAATATATATGAATCTCCTCATAAACCCTAATCACATAATTTAAGGCCATGTTTGGGGACACGTCTAATCTTTTTATTAGAAAACTCCATAATTCAATCAAGCCAGGATATGCATGGCCTTCTAATTATTGTTGTTTTATTGCAGTTTGGTAAATTATTCTCAGATCCACTGCCCCAGTAATAGTAAGTAACCTGCATCAGTTTCTAATTTATATATATGGACAAGCTATAGTTTCTCTATTGTGGGTTTGATTTAATTATAGTTTAACTAATTTTGTGGTTAATCTCCATTTTTAAAATAAATTTTAGGACTAAACAGATCAAAATAGGAGGAAACAAACTCAACATCTGCACATAATAGTTTTAAAAACTAATAATTTTACTATGCTAAAACTAAGAAATTTATAGAAACTGAGATAAAACAACAATCTACTTTTTTCTTTTTTCTCAGTGTATGTATGTATGTATGTATGTATGTATGTATGTATGTGTATATTTTATATTGGAATCTGAACAATACAGAGACATAATTTTCATTTTGTAGGTTATGATAATTCGTCATCTTCATCAAACTCTTCACTGCCGTTGGTGATACTATCCCCATCTCCATCTCCTTCTTCTTCTTCATATCCAAACACGGATGGGACTGGCACAAATGATGGTAATAATTCTACATTAACCAAACAGAATCCTAATGATTCTCATAGTCACGGCAGATTATTGTCCACTCAAGCTTCAATCTTTTACTTGCTTTTATTGCTTTTGGAACTTCTCCTTTCTTTTATCTTCTGTTCTTGATTGTATTCTTCCTTTTAACATCAAAATTTCGTATTTCTTCAAATTGGTATTTTGTTTAGGAGAAAGATTAGTACTTACTAGGGTTTCGCTCGAAGAAAATGTTTCTCAAATTTGTATTATATTGTGTTTGGTTTAAGTTTTATTTCGTTTTCATTAGATAAATACATCTTAGTTACCATTTCCGTCTGTGATGCATGATTATAGATTAGATATTGGATGCTCTCTGTATTGGTTTCTGAAAAGGCAATTTTGTTTGGATATTCAATGATCTTTGTCAACAGCTCCTTTTGAAGGGAAACAAGATATTCTTTTCAAGGAAAGAAGATTTTTTATATGACTATTGTTTTAGTTGTGTCATTAAACGTTACAACATTTTCTGTCTCTTATATATGTATAAACAATCTCTTTTTAACAAATATAATATCTTACATATAACAACAAGAGAGAGCTATATAAATATGTAGTACAGATAACTCAAAAGTTTCTTTTTAAAGTTTTTTACATGTAAAAAGGTGCTTGGTTTCTTTTCTTCTAGTTGTATTTAACTGCATGTAGTCTAATAATTATTTTATTTTTTTGATGATTTTGTAACTTATAATCTAATCTTTTATCATTTTATATAAATACTATTATTTTTTTTAAAAAAAATTATTGTATCAATTTGCAAACAACATCTAAAGTTTAAGATTAAAAAAATTAAAATTTGATAAAAAAACTCAAAAAAAATTATAAGATAACATCTCGAAAAGGCAGCTTATTTTTAGTACAATGGCAAATATTATATTGAATTTCTTGCATTAAAATTCTATAAATATTGGGTTAAAAGTAGACTAAACTATATAAGGAAAAATATATATTATAATAATCTACCCCAAAAATTTGAACACAATATTACTTGAATGGTTTTATAATATTAACATGGAAGAAACAAAAATTAAGAGATAATAATATCTTATACGGTTGATTTTTATTTAATTTTTTTTTTTTTAGTTTTGCGAAATAGATATACATTGTTCTAAAATTGGAACAGGTGTCAAATGATAATTAGCAGATAAAATATAACCATATATGAAAGTTGATTAAATATCAAGAGGAAGATATGTTTTACATGCCATCCTCATCAGGTTGATAAGAACTCTAGTACTAATCAACATGTAAAAAATTAGACAAGTCAATCGGGAATATATGATGCCGTTATATATGGGCACTTACATCCATCATATATATACGCATACATCTATATATATATATAGTATATAGCTGTACCATGTATCAACATAATAATTACTGCATATTTCGCTGTACAATTCATTTGGTAAATTACATAGAAGGTTATAAACATAAGCAAAAGAGTAGACAATTATATTTTTAAAAACTGTGGATTTAATTACTATAAGTTGATCAGTCCAAGAATTTGATTCTTGTAACTTTATATCCACAAAATTAATGTGAAGAAGTAGTATGTTACTTTTAAAATTATGTTTACAAAAAATTAATTAATTTTGATATAGAAAAAAAAATATTAGCTTAGTCATTTATTCTAATCCTCCTAAACTATTGATAATTATATCTATATATTTTTTTAATAAATCTGTTATTAGTTACATATTACACATATATTAATCATAATATGTTGTAAATAAACTTGCAAGTAAGAACATATTTACAATATAATTCATTCAATTAAATAGTGGTCAAGATAAGTATATCTATAATTAAAATTCAAACACTAGACATTTACCCAAATAATATATTAATTAAGAATAAACTTTGTGAAGTAGGAGTAAGGTAGAATATTTTTCTTTTCTTTTTTTTTTTTTGGGCACAAATTAATAAATATTTCCCAATAAAGAACATAAAATGGTGAAGAGAAAAAAAAGAAGCCGCGCGCAGCTTTTTGTGGTTAAAAACAGACGAGAGATCACTTGAAGATAAGGAAAAAGGATTGCTCTTTATCAAAATAAGGATGAATTCCCCGCTCATCTGACCGTTCATTTTGTTTACTTCGATTCCCACGGCTTACGTGTACGGCCGAGATCAAAACCAGAATTCATCAGCTCAGGTCGAGCCACAAATTTCTATACGTCCCTATCTGCCATGCAAATAAACTGGAGGTCTCTGTAATCTCTCCTCTGTACATTTTCTCTTACAGAGAGAGAGAGAGAGAGAGAGAGAGAGAGAGGAAGAAGAAGGTATGACCACATGAACGTTGAAAGCAACAAAGGGGGGGGACCTCAAAACAAGAGTTATAAAGGATTACAGGAATAATTGAAGTATAAAGACAAAATCAACATAACCCAAAGTGAAAGAGATTGATTTGGAAATGAAAACCCTAGCTAGCTTTTTGCTATGGAGGACCCACAAGGAATCCTGCCATGAAACCTGTTGGCCAATGGGAGTTGAGAGATTAAGATGAACATGAAAGTTTTGGCCAATAAACACTGAGATAAGAACCACTCGTGGGTCCCAAAAAGCAAAATCAACCTCGAGTCTCCCCTCTCACCCTGAAATTCTGAAAAAATAAATTACAATTTCAAATTCTAAGAGAAAATGGGAAATTACAATATTACTCCTATGACAGATGAAATGATCTATGAACAGTTTAACTAAATGATAATTGACCATTTTTGGTAAATATTTGAACTGGGTAAAAAATTGTAGAGGTGTTTATACAAAAATTTCAAATCTTTATATTCGATGGTAGGGTAGGTGAGAGTTGAGGCAGCCATAAAAAGCGCATGGGCTCTACATACACTCTTTCATGGCCACCTTGTTTCAAAGAGTCAAAGCAAAGAGTTGTGGGTCTTTCACACGCACATATACAATACAACAACAAAAATAATTGAGGGAATCAAGTTGTGACTCCAAAGTAAATCAAAGAGTCACCAAAACTTTTTAGAGATCTCATTTATTTCTTCTCTCTAATTCATTTCCTTCTCCTAAAACATTCAACAAAAAAAAAACAAGTCCTTTCCTCATACCCGCCAAAGATTACATGATGGACGATAAGAAAGCTGCAAATGCAATGGGTGGCAAGACAGCGAGAGCCTGCGACGGGTGTTTACGCAAGCGGGCTCGTTGGTTTTGCGCTGCGGACGATGCTTTTCTTTGCCAAGCTTGTGATGCTTCAGTCCATTCAGCGAACCAGTTAGCCAGTAGACACGAGAGGGTTAGGCTCCAAACGGCGTCGTCCAATGGAACAGTAGTATTGAATAGCCGCCATGAAAACTTGGCGAGCAGCTCACCGGCTTGGCACCAAGGCTTCACAAGAAAGGCAAGAACACCTCGACAACATCATAATCACAAGCACTTGTTGGCTCAGAAAGTTAAAGATGATGAGAAAACTATGAATTCTAGTACTGATCCTGTTGTTCCTGAGATTGGTAGTGAAGAGGGTTCGATGGAGTATGAGAATGAAGAGCAGATGCTTTACCGGGTGCCCGTGTTCAACCCTTTCGCAGAAGATCTCTGCAATATTATGACAAGTGAAGGATTTTTGGAAGAAGCTCCAATTGGAAATCACCATCATGAGGAAGATGGGAATATTGGTATTGATGATTATGGACATGAGGATCAGACATGCGAGCTGGAGAATCTTCATGGGTTTTTGCCGTCGGATATGGACCTTGCAGAGTTTGCTGCCGATGTGGAAAGTCTCTTGGGAGTCGGATTACTCGACCACGATTCTTGTGTGGATGTCAAGGATCTTGGGCTGGTAGATCATAAAGTGGAAAATGATGCTTGTTTTGGTGAGAAAATGGGGTTTGTGAAGGTTAAGGAGGAAGAATTGGAAGGCGTAATGAGAGGTGATTGTGATTTGAATCCTGGTTTTGAGCAAACATTGGAATGGAACTTCGACTGTGATTCTCCGGTGATAGGAGAAGAAGAAGAAGGAGATGAGGGGGAGGAGGAGAAGAAGAAGATTAAGAGATTGAGTGCGACTGTTAATGGTGACGTAAGTAGAGGGGAGGAGAAGAGGAATAACATATTCTTGAGATTAAATTATGAAGAAGTGATTACAGCTTGGGCTAGTCAAGGCTCCCCATGGACAACGGGAAGCCGGCCGGAGCTCAACCCCGATGATGGTTGGCCTCAATACGAGGTATTTTTTGAAAGATTGTTAATTAATTGCTATAGGAATACCAATAAGATGATAAATAAATTCATATAATTAAAATTTTAGTTTCACATTTATTTCAACAAACACAATATGAAATTAACTAATCGCATTTGCATAGTCTTCTAATTTGTTTGCAGATATATCTACTCATATTTCTTTGTCACTTCATTCTATATATAGTCCATGACTACAAATTTGATGCTCACCACACTAATTTCTCATATTACAAGTTTTATTGTGCTTAAATATAAGAAGCCACCTTAAATTTTTATCCAACTGAATTAAATAATATCTCTCTTATATTTGAATTGAATTATTTCAAAATGGTGTCTTGTCAGATCCCTCTAAGTTAAATTATTTGAGTACTAAGTTTTAATAATGATGTTTCATTTATGTAGAATGTAAAGTAAGTCACATTGATCAATTTATGTAAAGTTTTTTCATTATATGTTTGTTTAATTTTATCATCATACATTGCAGGGTGTATGTTCAGAAAATATGAGATTCCTATACGGGGATGTGGGAGGTTTTGGAAGAGGCAACAACGAAGAAAGAGAAGCAAGAGTATCAAGATATAGAGAGAAGAGAAGAACTAGATTGTTTTCCAAGAAAATAAGATACGAAGTAAGAAAATTGAACGCCGAGAAAAGACCTAGGATGAAAGGTCGCTTCGTTAAGAGGAGTTCCTTAGGGAACCCCTATTCTTACCTCAATAACTAATTACATATATCATCAAGGGCTGGAAATATTTCTAAATTAGATAGTAATAGTTGATTGATTAAAATAAAGGGGATGTTATTAATAACTTGCAGTTATTGTTTTTTGAGTCTAAAATTACTGTGAGTTATCTTTCTTTTTTCCCTCTTTGTTAATAATATTTATACTCATTATAACTTCTTGATAATGTTTACTAGTACTAGAAAGTTAGGTTCATATATGTTGAGAAGAAGATAGCTTCTTCTTAACTTATTTAAATGATTGTGCGTTTTATATATAATAAGTTAGATTTTTATTTGATTTATTAGTCTGTATGTATATGTTGTGAACAATGTCTGTCTAATGTATGTCATGTATTTATAAATAAAGTTATGTATTTAGATCGTATTTATACATGTATTAATTGTAAGCTAGCTATAAGCTACATTTTATACATGGTTATTTTAATCTTTTTAAAAGAAGAAAGAATATTTCATTAAATAAAACGATTCACACATATGACTAAGGTTAAATATAGTAATACACATATAAGATTTAATATTATAGAATTAAGAGATACAGTAAAATAACAATCTTAAACAAGATGTCAGATGAAAGTTTGTAAGCATACAAAGAGGAACATTCATCACCCCTCAAACAAGTATTATAATTAAAACAAGTAAAAAATTTATCACTATTTTTATGCCACTCCCATGGCTTCTCTAGCATTGATAAGTAGAAGTTAAATACATTAATAGTCCAAATTAATATTAATTATGCTCGAATTAGTCATCGATTCCCATAGATATCAATAATGGTTGAAATCTATACTAGTCTAAGATCAATTGGCAACGGATGATGCTTCCATTTACACACAAAGCATGTATTTAAATAAGCATGTGAAAGCTTCATTGATCATTTCGACCAAAAGAAGAACAAACAGATCTACTTATATTCATCAAATATTTCTTTTTGTTATTCATGATTATTACTTCATGAATACATTGGACTATCTCTCTTTAATCGATACTGAAAATTTAATACTCCTTTGTATCATATTGATATGGTATAGTGATAGTCTATATTCATTGTTAAATTTATGATCATGTTAACCTATCATTACCACTTTGATTGTTTACCTTCGTCTAATTTTCTACAAAGAAAAAAAGAAAGAGAAAATTATAGTATGTGAATCTCTTGTTCCTATATGAAATATATAAAAGCAAAAAAGAATGTATTTTTCTGAAAGCAAAAAAACATTACATTTATATTTAGATTGAGTTCAATTCAATTTCAAATTTTATACATTATAATAAGAAAAAAAAATACAAAATAAAACTCATGTAAATTTAAATCAAAATAACATTTTAATTCTATGTATAATTAAATATTTATAGGTGTGGAAATTATTATTTATTAGTTTTTATATAACAAATGATTAAAATTTAAAATTAAATACAAATACAATAAATATTCTTAGCAGAAGCCAACAAATTCCCCTTCCCTTTCATATAATTATATTTTTTGTGTGGAAATATATTTGTAAAGCTTTATATAAATATATATATTTTTTTTTTGGAGTCGCAAACAAAAATTACAAGAGAAATTTTGTTGTCCCAAAGATCGAAGTTGACAGTCCATGTAATTATTAAGAAAATTTAAAAAATTACGACCATTTAATTATATGAACATAAATTAATTGTATGTATATAATTTCTTTTTTGTGAAATGGACTCATCGTATGTGAGTCCGACTTACGTGGACCACCATTATTGTCTGCAACAAAACCAATATGTAATCTGCTACGTTTCTAGGACTTTCGTTGTTTTCTTTTATATAAATAAATATATATATATATATATATATATATATATATATTGCTTTTTCAATATAATTCTAGTGCTCTAAAATTATATATATATATATATAAGGTTGTTAATTGGGCATCAATTTTTTTTTTTTTTTAAGAAAAAGTTATAAGCAAAGATTATATAGAACCATTATATAAATTATTATTATTATGACTATCTACGCATTAAATTTATTTTTTACAAAATATTTTTAATAGTATTTAATTAAAAGCATTTTCTTTTTATTTTAATTATTTTATAAATGTACAATTTTCATATATTTATATATAAAAATTAAAAAAAAAATCCAGCATGTAAGAAGATCCGGAAGCTATTTTACTTCCCAAATTTATTAAAATAAAAATAAATTACTCATTTGATTATTGATAATTAGAGTTGGGTCTGATCCAACATGGACCTGCTTGTAGGCCCGTCGACTTAGTCAAACTTATATATTCCCTTAAATTTAATTCGAACATATATTTGTGGTCAATACGACCGCGTTTTGTCAGAAAGCTCAATCTCAACAAAATTCAAGCATATACATATATATATATATATATATTATATAACATAAATGACATTATATGTGATGTAAAACAAACCATTTTTTTAAAATATAATTATTCCACTTAGATTATTGAAAACAATTATTTTATAATAAGTCTTATTTATTTAATCTTTATTTTTTTCTATAATCAAATTATGTGTTTGTAAGTAATTACAAAATTAAAGCACGTGATAACTATATAACATATTCGATTTGAATACGTGATGATAAGATATTTATATGCGTCAACTAAAAATAATAATTCAATTTTAACTTTAATTTATTAGACAATAATAGATTATTTCTATAAAAATATTATCTGTAAATATTATAAATTTATATTTATTATCTTATCCTATATTATATTTTTATTAATTTTTATATTAAAATATATTTTTTTTGAAATAAAATTCAAGAATCATCGTTTACTAGTGAAGGTAGATAACCTAAGCCCTCGTCTAGCACTAATCATACCCGAATTTTGGGTCAACACTAAGTCAAATATTTACAAGTTATCGAAGCCTCTAATATATCATATTTCTCCTCATTAACATGTCATCTTTAACATTATCAATTTCATAATATTTAATTTTTGTAATAATGACTTAACATTATGAAATTATCTAAATATTTTAAGGAATACAAAAAAAAAAAATTGTGAGGGTGGTGTTTGAATAAATTATGTAAATATAATAAAAATGACTATTAAATTTGATTCATAAATAATTTTTTACATCATCATCGATCTCTAAAAATTAAAATATAAGTCCAAATTTTTGCATAATAACTACGAAATTAAAGAATAATTAAGAGGCACTTCAACATCTAATTCTAAAGAGTAAGAAAAAAATGAATAAATAAAAAATGGAAACGATGATAATAAGCAGCAGCAGCGGCAGCTTTTTAAGGATGAAGAAAAGAATCCAAGCAACCTGCGCGCAGGACAAATACTAAAATTTCACAGCCTCGTAACTCAACAACTTGGTCTTGTCACCAAAACCTATCAACCTCCTCTCTCCTACTGCCTTAGTCTTCTTAGGTATTGCTGTGATTTTGAAGTACATCTTGACCGTCCATTTTACATGACGAGAAAACCAATCGACGGTTGGGGTTTACTTGCTGCTTAAAACATTTGACTGTTTCTTGTACTTTTTTTATTCTCCTTGGTACTCGTTTGTCATCAACCGTGATATGAAAAGAATAATTTTGCAAAAATCAATGTTTTTTTTGAAATAATATATATTTAGTATTGACGCAATAATGATCTTATCACTCGAATAAACAGAGAAAAAAAGAAAACATTAGATTAATAATTATTTGACATAAATGATTGATTAAAAAGTATAGATGATGCATGAATTTGAGAATTAGACGCAACAAGGTGAATAAGGACAAAACTTGTAGCAACCCACAAAATAAAATGAAAAGGAAAGTGAAAGATTCCATTGTAAGATTTACACACACATACCTACACACATGGTATTTTAGAGTACATATCCAAACAATATTAAGGAAGCAAAAGTGTATCTTATATCTTGAGGCAGAAAATATTCATAAAGAGAAGCAAGGAAGAGGAGCTGAGGAGCTCCTTTCAGCCCAATACGGAGGACTGAGATGTGGGTAGAGCTGCCATCTCATGCATAAGGCTATGCTTAATATTTCTCAAACAGAAACTTCCAGTCATCAAATTTGAGCTGCCATCTTCAAGGACTTAATGTTAAGCTCAACCAAATGCATGGAGTGGGAGCAACTCCTTCCCCATACTTTGCCCGCCCATTGGACTGAAGGGAGCTCCTGGTTTATACTCATTTTTTTTTTTTTGTTATAAACTTACGCTGTAAGGAACTGAATCACAGTCATATTGACCCCATTTTTTCTTGCAGGTTTAAGTAGAGGAGCTAGAGCTTATACGTTGCAAGTGGAAGCTCGAATGATTCAGCAGTGACCTCGGTCCTTGAAGGAGCCAATGTGTGTGTTTATGTGAATATATACATGTATATACATATATACCAATTGCTTTTTTCCTTTTGAGGAACAGTCTACGGAGAACACTGGGTGCCTTTAAGTTTAACGTGTTAATGTTCACAAGTTCGTTTAATCTTGCTTTATAGCCCCATAATTTTTTGCAAATAATGTTTTTCATCTTCTTTTGGGTTTAATGAGCTCTTAAATCAGTTCTTGCACACTAATACTAATTCTCTTATCAAAAATAGGTCATTTACGCTGGTTAACAAATTCACCTGGCTTACTAGGTGTACGATTACTGATCTCAAAGCAGAACAAGGGGCTTCCTAAGTACATATAGATGACTGATTTAAATACCAGAACAGGGCATCACGTTAACGCCAATCAAAATCTTTACTATATATTTAATATCACTTCTAAAATGATGAAAGCAGAATTCTATGCTCCCACGTCTGATGGACAAGGCTGTAACTGTTATAAGCCAGATTGTTGTGCAATACAACATCTTCAATATTTGGGATAGTTGGTGCCTGAGAGCTGATTTTATATCTGTATTCTCAGATAGATATTAATGCAAACCAGTCTCATCAGTTTAGCCAATTTGGTTCTTTCAGTAAGTCCTGCCCACGGCCAAGCCGACGGACATATTTTCTCTCAGTCTGCTTGGTTCAATTAAAGTGAGAAAACATGACTTGGTAAAGGAATCATGTCTAAAGTAAAATTAAACCAAATGAGACTTAACCCATTCCCCCTCCGGGTGATCCCAACAAAAATTTGAAATGGAAATTCTGCAGTCTCTAGATCCATCATACCAGAAATCCATGAAGAATGTGCTAAGTTAAATTCATAATCAGCATGAAAGTAGCTCAAGCATTGCTGAAAAAATTTATTCCACTCGGTAAAGGCATTTCCTTTCATTGCATATACGGAAATAACAGGCAGTGATCTAGGAATAAAGGTCAAAAGAACAAAGGTTAATGCCTGGAACAAGCAGCTTCTGTGCATAAAAGGAAAAAAGAAAGCTCCTTATGATAGGAAGTTTAAATAACACGAATCATCAAAGATGCTTAGGCAGGCTCGAATTTTGCTTCCACTTCATATTTGAAATCCTAATTCATTCACCTGCATCAAGGAAACAAAATTTAGTTAATTTTTTCAATTCTTAATTGCAATAGGATAGACTATATACGATGCTAATTATGGTGTCCCAAAGACATTATTCTTCGTAGTAATGCTCCAACATTTAGAGTAATTTAATAATTAGATTACTGTACAATATTAGAAAATTGACATTAAGGTGCATGATGACTCAAAGGCAGCATTTGAATGTTTCAAATTTGTGTTGAAGCAACACAAAATAAGATTGTGCTAAACCAAGAAACGAAGCAATTGAATGAGTTTGATTTAAAAATTTCAAATGATTTAAAAATTTCAAACATCACAAATCATCACATCCTTATCGGGAAAATAATATAATAAATTGATTTTTTCCCAGGAAAAATAAACAGAAAATAAGGTCTTTTTCATTCTGTCTCATTCATGGAGATGTTGAAGGAATGGATAAGCAGCGGCTCAACCAATCGACCATCTCCTGGATTAGTATTACCTCTTTTTCCCCACACCTAAGGAGCAGAAAAACAAAATGAACATCCCTTTCTGCTTATTTTCAGTTGCCCGAAAGTTTATTAACTTGTTGTCACATCAAAGACATTATGTCAGACTTGCATGTCATCTTGTCAATATCAAGCTGCACTATTAAATGAATGCACAATCTATGCAAGAATAAAGTTCGAATATCCCATCCCAATAATAGTATATATAACTAAAATATTTTAACTGAATCTATGACATAAATAGATAAACAAGCAACTCATCAGATTAGATTACTCAATAATTAACATGACAATGATGATAATGACAACGACAACGATTAGTTTGTAAAAGACTATACATCAAAATAAGTAAAAGGACATTACAATATATGTACACAGCGCAAATTTGATGAAACATCATGCTGAAAATCTAAATTTATCCTATCAATAATTTGTTTCAGACTTGAACGCTTCCAACCTATACAATGGCCTGCATAATCATGCATATTTCTTTCCATTATTAACTATATGGGAAAGGGGTAGGGAAAAATTGAATATCTAAGACTTTGCATAAGCGTCATTTTCGAAGTTAGATAGCTTCTGTGCACACTCTTTTGCTTTCCTCCCCGAATTTTTTTATTCTTTGTCATGACTAGAAATATTAACATTCTAACAAAGTCATTGAACATGAAAACAAAAAGAGGAACTCCAAATGGCATTAGCACAAACGACCTTCCAAAACCCCACAGGGATATGGGTTTTCAACCTATCCAAAACAATTATCCAAATAAAAACCAAAAATATCAAAAAGCCATTACCAGAGTTTACAAGCTAAATCACAATGCAAAAGAAGGTGAGTATGAGTCGTAGCAAGATTATAATGCATCACATACACCCTTGGTCAGAGCATGATTTGACCTATGATCTTGTAGCAAACATTAGTATTCATCCTATCCAAATCAAATAAAACCATGTGAACGGAAGAACTATGGATGAAAAGGAGGTAATACTACACTTTTTATCAGAAAAAAAAAGGATGAAAAAGGAGGACTTGCAGGTAAAAACAGCTGGAGAGTCCAAGGACCAAACTCGAGGATTGGATCCCATAGGAAAAACAACAGAATTAAGTAGCTGATGCAAAGAGATCATATTGTCAGCTTCAAAATCATTAAGATTTTTGAAAACATATATGTTCCAAGAACAAGAACCATTAAAGTGATCCAAAAAGGAGAATATACGAGCATTATGACGCTAGGAAAAATTATACATGCGAGGGAAACGAAAAACTATAAAAAAAATTTCAATTCAAGGCCCTCCCAGAAGAGAAAACAACAACCCATCACCTATCCTAAAACTAAGAAAGGGGGAAAAGAATAATAAAGGTTAAGAATAACTTTATCGGAGCTCCTATAACTAATCAAAAACTACTTTAGAATCCCAACCATTCCATTGCAAACCAAACTTGATCTTAATCACTATACACTATAAAGAGTAAGATTCCAAAGGTAACCACCATAACCATTTAGCCAACAAAAACAGGTTTTTAAAAATAAAGCTTCCTAATAACCAAATCTCCTTCAAGCTTAAGCAAACAGTCTCTCTCCGAAGTCACACTCTGAACAAGACAAACAGAAATTTTTTATCGCCCTCACTGTACCTCAACTGCGTGGTGAGGAATTTTCGGACAGAGAAAGACAAAAAAGCAGAATACTAGAAAGACATGCCTACACAAGAGTAATGATACCACCCAGGAAAAAAGAGCAAACTTCCAACTCTAGACTTGTAGAAGTCCTATGCACCACAGGATCCCAACAATAAATAATTCAAGGATTGCCTCCCAAACGAACAATCAAGTAAGTGAAAGGTCACTGTAAGACATCACACCCAACCGGATTTGCCAACCCTTGAATACTCACTCCTCCACTTTAATATCTCCTGAACCAATCTTTCTAGGATTAAAACACAGGCACAGAATACACTAAAAGAAGATGTAGGATGGTATGGACATTGCAAAACTTCTCATGATCATATACACGGAAAAGAATCATGTCATCAGCAAACTGGTGGTAGAAAAATTCCACACTATCACGGAAAATTTCTACCTATCACTCCCTACATTAAAACCCTCAAACACACCTCTCAGTTTGCCACGAGAAAGCATACGACCCAGGACATAGACCACAATCATGAAAAGAAAAAGGCAAAGAGGATCTCCTTGCCTCAACCCATGCTGCCCCCCAAAATCACTCCCCTAGGCTTGCCATTTACCATATAGAAAAAGCCACAGAAAAAAAAGACAACCTAAGAGCTACTTCTGCCCCCTAAAACCAAAACCTTTCTCTATAGAACCTTATCCACAAAACTGCAATTAACCTGATTATAGGTCTACTCAAAATCCAACTTAAAAACCAGGCCTTCTTCTCAATATTTGAAGGTTTTTGCACCACTTCCTTAGCATTAAGAGAGGCATCAAGGATCTGTTTCACCCCCCAAAAAAAGCACTCTAATGGACAGAAATCCTCATTAAAGCACCTCATTCGACCTTTTTTTTTTAAATAAAAGAGAAAAATATTATTCACAAATGTACCTAGGGAGTACCACCCATATATAAAATAGTTATATATCTATTAAGTGGTCCATAGCTAATCCAATATCTTCCCAATCATGCACATTATGACCTAACAAGATAGATCCAAAAGTATGAAACCATGAATCTCTAATGTTTACAATATTAATTTCAATGCCCTCAAACGCCCTCGCGTTTCTTTTCTTCCACACAACCCAAAAAATGGTAAGTGGTATAAGAAATCTATGTCTATTCTTTTTACAATAACCCGCCCAAGCCCAATTCGATCTTAAAGAGAGCACTCAAGTAATGAGTCTATATACGCTTAGGACCAGGCTAATAGGACGATAATCAGCAACCTTACGTGAAACAATCTTTCTTGGAACTAAAACCACAACTCTATTATGTTGGTTAACCATACAAATTTCAAGTCCTCCAGGGGTCTGCCACAATTTGATCTGCTCTCCCCTTTCCCATTTGTCTTAATTATGTTAATAGGATGATCACGAGGGCTAGAGAAGAAAATCATTTCCAAGGGATAGTAATAATGATCAACGAGAACAAGCAAGTGTTGTCCTATCTTCTTATTACTAACAATTCTTTTCTCTTCTAGAAGCTGCACATATTTGCTTTTCTCCATATTAGATGTCTCCTTCTGGTTTTTCAAACTCTTTGGTTAAGATCAACCCAACCAAATTTGAATTGGCCCATATCAGGAGCTTGTTTAAGCGCATGAGCTGACTCGAGTATCTGATTGTTTCAGTGTCCTTTCCCATCTAATATCCGGAGATTCCTTTAGGCACTAGAACAATAAGGAAATCAAGGATCCCATCATCAACGATGTGCAAAGAAAGTTGGTGGGTTGGAGATGATGTCTATCCAAAGGTAGCATATTTCGAGAGTGTTAGGGAGTGTTTATTTATCGCTCATAAGCAGTTTTAAATACCTTATTTTAATATATCTGTTTGAGAACATAAAAAAAGTGCTGATTATGTTCCGATAAGCAGCTTTAAACAGGAAAAAATAAGTATCTCTTTTAACTTTTTCTAACTCTCTGCATATTAGCGTAGAATACTTATTTTCTGAACATATTTGGTTATTTGCTCACCGTTACATTTTCTTTTTCTTTTATAAAGAAAAGAGTAAATACTTATTCTAAGTAAATACTTATTCTAACAAATAATATCTTTATCGAAACATGTTGCTAATTTTCTAAATAAATATCTTTAAGCATATTTGTTTGACCAATCCCATATACTCCAACTCTCATGAAGAGCATTCTTTTTAATATTCCCATTTACACTATGTCCACAAGCCCTGTAATGTGGCTAAAAGCCTTGACATTATTTTTTCTGGGGTGCATTACAAAATAAAAAGGTCAGTTGCAATTCCATCAGATTACCAATTTCTGCTGAGAATTAAGCAATGTGGTCTCGGTTCCTATTTAATAAGGCTCTATGGGCCAAAGGAGTGGAGATTTTATACAAGTTGATAAAAGCTGCAGTGGAAGGCAATCTGGGCTAGATATGGCCTCATGACAGTGGGCTGGATGAAAGGTGTGGGAAGAGACATTCATAGCTGAAGTTTTTGGAAAGGCTTTCTATAATTAAAAGAAACCTAAAACGTAAAATCTAAAAAAATTGAAATTTTAAAACTAATTATTAAATAACAAAACTTAAAATACAAAAAATTTTAATCAAAATCCAGATTGAAGAAGTTAGGGAAAAATTTATTTACATTAAAACTAATACAATTTTTAGGTTTTCTTTTTGTTTCTAAGCAATAATCTAATATTAAATGTCCATGTGTGACATGTCAAACTGTTTGAAACTCAGACAATTAACATATAGCTAACAATGGTATATTAACTGAAATCATGAGTACGGAATTTTTAAGAATAAACTACATGTTGAATAAGAAAAACTTCAGATCACAAGGTACTAAGCCATACTTTGTCATATATTTTATGCAATTGTAAGTGGAACTAGACAGATTAACAATCCATCAAAAGAAATAGATAAACACGCAACTCACTAGATTAGTCTAGTCTATAAAATCACAATGACTACATGACAATGACCAGCATATTACATTGGGACTTATAAGAAGCAGCCCGCCATCAGAATCCAATTAGTGAAGTCATCATCAATTTCTGTTAAATAAAGATTATTAATACTATGGTCCCAATGTAAACATGACCCAATAATTTGTACAGTTTGGAACCTAAGCCTATGGAAGAGCATCAGAATCATGCATATCCCTTGCAGTTTCGTAACTTACGAATCTGAATCAAAACTGAAGATCCACAGCCTTACATGATCTTCACGCTTGCAAGTTGGCTTTAGCTTACACAATTCTGTTTTGCAATTTTTATATACATCATGATCCTTTTTCATGTTTGAGAAACATTAAAACTCTAATCCAGGCAGGGCTAGTATTCCTAACAGGAATGATGTACATAAAGATATAGATGCCTGGACTGCCCCACTAAATTGATACGGAACAGTATGGCCCCTCCGCAGGTCTCTTTTTTCACATGGGAAGCTGTCAAGGAAAGGATTCTCACTCTGGATAACCTCATGAAAAAAGGTATTACTCTAGCCAACAGATGTTTTCTATGCAAAGCTGACGCCGAATCCTGCAATCACCTCCTATTACATTGTACTTTCTCCCGTCAGCTTTGGTCCATGGTCTTGGGGCTTCTTGGCATTTGCTGGAGTACTGTGGATTCTATACAAAAGGAGCTAAATGCTTGGGAATTTTTATGCAAGTACAACAAGACTTATCGCCTAATCCCTCTCACAATTTTTTGGATACTTTGGAAAGAAAGAAACAATCATGCTTTCGAAGACAAAGAGGATTCTTTTGGAAACATCAAGGACAAATGGTTCCATTTTTTTGGGTCCACATTAATGGGACACCACCTTTGTAACCTTGATGATTTTGATTTCATTGTAGATATACTCTTAGATTTGTAAATCTTTTGTACATGGGTGACACCCCCTTGGTGCCTACTCTAATATATTTTTCTACTCTTTTATCTCAAAATAAATGATATACATAAGGATATAACTGGAATAGAATATAAACAAACTCCAATTCACGTTTATATAAACTCCCATACGTGCAACTTGCAACAACCATAAGTTGGAAAACTTTTTTATTGCGAGTCTACCAAAACTCGAATGCAGATGATATTATGGTACAGAGACCAGAGTCCAGAGTCTAAAGTCCAGAACCAGGCTCGAGCTTAAGTTTCTCTAAAACCTCAATCCTGAGCAGTACTTGGATTCTTAGAACATTTCTTCATCCAGCAAACGAAAATTTCCAAGAATGTTAATTTGGTTCTATTAAACTCCTAGCAAATGTATATCCATCATGCAAGTTCTTACTGATCCAAGAAAACTTTTAAAGTTGGATGTATACCATAGAAACCCCAGTCCTGAATGTGAATCCCTTCAAAGAGATCATCCTTAAAGACATCCATGCCCAATCAACCAAACTCCGTTTAGAGGAAAGACCATATCGCCCAAGTGCTATTCACTTATTTGCAAGTACACTGTACCAATCACTAATGCGACAGAATCTTTGCTGATATCCGTGTATAAACAAGGTACTAAGAACCATACTATTCTAACCCTCGATAAATAAAACACCAATTTTGAATACAAATGCAATCCCCATGCCTAAGCCTCATGCCACCAAAAAAATCACTCGGATAATAATCAATCATCTAGATTCTTACGGCTCTTACATCTTTCGGCAATCAGACAGTGAAGATGCAAAAATAGTAGGAATTTCTCTGAATAGTTTAGACCAAGTATCAACAAGAAGAGAATTTTAAAAAAAAAAAAAAGAATGGAGAACAAAGAAAAAAAAGGCGTACCTCAGATAGCAGAGGCAGTGGCAAGAATCATTCGGATTCAGCAGGCTGAGGCTTTGGCCCTAAGTCAAAAGAATCAAATTTTAGTGAGAAAAAACATGATAAGCAAGAGAGAGAGAGAGAGAGAGAGAGAGAGAGAGAGAGAGAGAGAGAGAGAGGGAAGGAGAAGAGAGAACCATGGAGAGAAGGATGGCGGCCGTCCTTGCCCCAGCCGATGCCGCGAGTTGAGTCTAGATACTGTTCAACGAGGTGGCGGCATTTCTGGTAGTGATTGACGCCTTCGATGCGGTAGCACCATCTGAGTTTCTCCCTCAGGATCTTCGACTTCTCAATGTTAATCCACTTCTCCCTAACCAGATGCTCCCTCATTTCCAGCATCGCCACCGGATCCTTGTACGGATGCGCCGGATCGAAGTCATCCGGCGCCGTCTCTTCGAACTCTGCTACTCCCTTCTTCCTCCCCATTTTTTCTTCTTCTCTCTGTAATTGGATTCGCAACAATATCCCGGGGTGGATGCAGGAGACTGTTTATGACGTTCCGGGAGTTGGGATCCGTGGGCCGGTTTGGATGAACTTCAGATTTGGGCTTGTGGTTAGGACTTCTATCGTCTGTTTCAAAAAGAGAAATAAGCTGCTAAAATTTTAAGTGAACATGAATTTACAAGGCGATCGTATATTATTTACGTAGTTAATAAAAGATAATTTAGAGAATAATAAAAAGTAATATTTTTTGTTTTTTATTAAATAAAAATAACAATGTATTTTTCTCAAATGGTCAATTTAAAATACAAGTACTAATTCTCAAATCGCCAACAATAAATTTAGAAATATATATATTATTTTACAGGATAAAATTACAAATTTAATAATTATTTAATGTGTTTAGTTGCAGTATTATTATTAACTTTTTCTTCTATCAAAGATTATAAATTTAAATAGAACCATTAACCATTGTAAATTTAAATTAGATTGTGTTATGATATATTCTCATGTAAAATTTGAATATGATTTAATTAATAATATATGATTTTTTATTTTTTATTTAAAAAAGAAAAAATGATATAGTAACTGCTGATCTGTACTGTATTTAATTTTGTTAGAACTCTCTGTTACTGTTTACACTTTCGATTCTAAGACCCCCAATACCTTTTTACCTAACCAAAAAAGACAGTAACCGTAAAAAACATCAGAAGGGTTACTGTGCGATTTTCAGGACCAAATCTGGTCTCTCATGGCTCGAGCCACAACGACCGGCTTATCGGCTTGAAACCTGCACATGCCATCAATCACAACTTCTGACACGTGAGCCGAAAGCTCGTCTACCTGTGAGCTCTCGGCTACAGCCTAGATCCCCAAGGTCAGCTCCAAATTAAGCTGACTGCCATCGGCTGGTTCTTCCAACTTCGCCAAGCATGGCTCCACCGTCTCAACTGACACGCTGTCACCTTCCGCGCCGCTATCACCTCCACAACTCGGACCCATCACCGATCCATCAGACTTCTCATTCCGACGCCGTTTCAGCCCCTCATCCTCCCTAGACTCATCAGCCCGCTCCGAGTTGATCTTGGATTTATTAGCCGGGCGCTTGAAACGGCTCCGGGTTTTGACCTTGCAGAGCTGATTGGAAACGTCTGAGCTCTCTTGTTTTGACACGTGGCGGATGTCGCCAGCCTTCAGGGGTGGGGTGGAGCTGCTCAGAGCCACATCCGAGGAAACTTGCACGATCTCCTCGCCTTTGAGAACGGCTTCGACGGCGGCTTCGCAAAGCTGCCAGCTTCCGGACCATAACAACCCGGCCGACCCATAAATCGGGTTGACGATCCTCCCGCATGCCTCATACAACAGTGATCTAAAAATAGCTGCAGAAAATCAAAACAAAGAAAGTAATTAATACCATAATTAATTAAACAACTGAGCTAGCTTAAAAAAAAAAAAAAAAGCACCATGAAATGGGTATTGAAGAATTACAAGGGCGGAGATCATCGGCACCGGCATTGATGAGATTGAGGAGTCCTGCACGACCATAGAACTTGGCAAGAAAGAGAGTAGCATTGGCTTGCGATTCCGGAGTCTGAATCCATTGGAGACAGGGTTTGATGATGCAATCGTCGCTGCAGCCTTTGCGGAGGGCTCGGCACCCGTTACAGCTGATTCGCATGGTGGGTTTTGCCCCTGTTTTGGGAGCGAGAAAGTGACGAGCAAAGGGAAATACTAGAGGAATTGTGGCCCGAGATGGGATGGTGTGGAAAAGGACTGGGTTTCATGATTATTTATGCAAGATTTGAGGACGTGGGTTTTAGCACACAAGGTGGGGGCGCAGTGGTTTCCAAGAAAACAGGGGATGTGGTTTGTGGGTTTTCTCTTTTTGGATTTTATTGGGGAAATTACCTTGTCTTTAAATACTGAGATTTTGTTATTTAATTTTAATATGATTTGCAGCCATAAAAATAATTTAGGAACATTCGGACAAATATAGAATTTCGGAAATCATAATACCATATTTTATTATTTGCTTACTGATTTTAAAATTTATTTAATTATTATTAAATTATAAAAACATTTAAAAATTCACTAATAAAGCAGCCACGCAGGCAGATTTGGTTCACAGCGAGTAACAGAATGCAGAACACCACGTGTAAAATACGTCAAAAGATCCCACTTTGCTGACGAGTCGCCACATAGTGGTTGGCGGGAGGTGTCCTTTCCTCCACGCGCGAAAATAGCAGTGCTGCATACGCCTCGCGAATCCACCATTGGAAGATAGGAGCATCGTGATACGCGCGGGAATGAGGAAGGGACTTGGAGTGAATGAAACCGTATTGGGAAGGTCGCCTATTGGGAGTCTACTCCCGGTTTTGTGGAAAAAGGATTTGAGTGGTTTTGGGTTTTGTAGGCGGGGGAAGGACTGTGGGCGCCCTTCGAACTTGGCACTTGGTTTTGGGGAAACGGGTTGGTGAAATTTGCTTTTTAAGGGGAATTTAAATATATATATATATTATTAAAATATTATTATTTTTTCCTCCCGAAGATTCTTTCTTATTTGTTGGGGATTTTTTGCGTTGAGAAAAATATTTATAATATAAAAAAGTAATGATTTGATGTTGTTGACATTTTAATTAAAAATATTTGATAATCATGGACTAATTATGTAATAATCATTGACAAGCTGCACGTGAATGAATGATCATGGGGATTATGGTATATAATAAAGAAGAAAAATACGTCATTTGAATTTTATTTTTATTTTTTAAAAACAAAAATAAACATTATATCATCTCAAATTTTAAAATCTGAAAATGAAACTAATGTGATAATTATGATTACATATATTATACAGAGATAAAATTTTAAATATTATTGAGAAAAAGAAAGAAAAGAAATCTTTTTTTATTTATTAAATGATAAATCTTTGTTACAAGCTAATAGAGTTATTAATATTCAACAAAACTGCTTTAATAAGTTAAATGCGACAACTGTACTTACTAAAATAATTTAGTACTAGAATAAGTCAAGTTAAAATAA